TCACGTCCTGGGTGTTAGTGGACTGGTGTGAGTCACTTCCTGGTTGTTAGTGGACTGGTGTGAGTCACATCCTGGGTGTTAGTGAACTGGTGTGAGTCACATCCTGGGTATTAGTGGACTGGTTTGAGTCACATCCTGGGTGTTAGTGAACTGGTGTGAGTCACATCCTGGGTATTAGTGGACTGGTGTGAGTCACATCCTGGGTGATAGTGGGCTGGTGTGGGTCACATCCTGGGTGTTAGTAGTGTAGGAAGTACTGTATATTTTCCAAAAATGCAGTGTATTTTGCATGTAAATTGATGGCATATATTGTAGATAATAAAAATTAATTTGTATGTGAGGGAAAAGTTCAATAGATAGGAGTAGAGACGGAGTATATAGTAACAATAGTTTCATTGCCGGCTACTTGTTAAGGCAGGGTAAGTCAAGCTCCCACTATTCCCGCCTTTTTTTCCTTCCCCGAAAGTGATAGTTTGCTTGCCGGCTACTTGTTAAGGTAGGGTAAGTCAAGCTCCCGCTATTCCCACCTTTTTTCCCCCACCCCGAAAGTGATAGCTTGACTGCCAGCTGCTTGTTAAGGTAGGGTCAGTCTTGCTCCAGCTATCCCTTCCCTTCCTTCTTCCCCCCCCCCCGAAAGGTGACGTGTGGGGCTCCAGTCCAAACAGTAATCACTAGACTCACAGCTCCCAACACTACTGTAAGTACATGCCTGCCTTGTATTCTAGTGGATTTATTGGTTAAAAGCTTCACTTTTGGCCAATAATAAACTTAGTCCTTTCAGTCTTGCTCTAGGTTGACTGTTGTAATAATCACCTCATCTTTTAGGTATTGTACTTATCATGGAGAGTGATTTCTTAAGCAGTGGGTAACCTGTCTATCTTTCCAGCTTGGATGACAGAGAGGGTCACCTGCCAATCAACGAGCAGAACTGATGGAGATGGACTAACATCCTGAGACTTCCCCTTTTTGGATTTAATTACCTGTGCACCTGTATGAAATTGCCGGACGCAACCCCTCATCATTGCAGCGGTAAAGGACCTGCTTTCCTGTCATCGGGATAGAATACTCAAGGCTATACTGTGAAGAACTAGCCAGTGGGTTGTAACTAACACCTGCGACCCCCCCCATCATCGGCAATGGCTACGATTTCAACACTCAGTGTCACCAACACCAGACACCTCTATATATATTAGCATTGAATTCAGTTATCATTTATATTTTTCATTTTTCATTTTCTTTAATGTAGGATTAATATTTCATATTTAAGTGTTTTATATTTTATATTTTCTATATAATAAAGTGTTTATGTTTGTCTGTTATTATTTCTTTTTCTATTCATTAATTTTCCTGAGGAGGAGCCAGCCTTGGTAATACTGTCTGAAGTTATTACAGGGCTGAGTAAGCCTTCACATTGTAAATAAATAAAGAACGAGCGATGGGTGAGCATCGCTGTAGAAGAGACGCCATTGTTTGGAACTGGCAAAAGTCACGCTTGTGAAATCTGCATAAATTTCTTCACTCTGGAAGTTAAATTGTGGCTGAAACTTCCCAAATAGGAGCCGAAATTGTTAGATTTGCAGTCCTGCATAACGTGAGCATTAAACAGATGGACAGGATAGCTTTAGAACCCCAGCTAAGTTGTCTATGTTGAAATTCTGGCCAGTATTTATTCATAATTTAGGCAGGGGGGTTTTGAGTATGACACACCATAATCTCCAGACTAATTGTGAGTCTTATTATTATAAATTCTCCTTCAATGTATATGTATTCACATTTTAAATTTAATATACAGTCCACATATATATATTAATGTTTTTACCAGAATTCCTGATGTATATTTCATTTGAAATTAATATAGGTCCAGAGTGACTTGTGGTGAGATAGGTTATCGTAAGTATCGAAGGACATTTTTTGCGACCTAAGTGTCCTAAAATTCCTAGATGTCTCTGTAACCTTGATAAAGAATAATTATCTTTGTTACCATTTACATCCAGGTAAATTTAATTTTCCAAAAGTAGACTGGTTTGGGTGGCATCCTGGGTGTTAGTGAACTGGTGTCGGTCACATCCTGGGTGTTAGTGGACTGGTGTGGGTCACATCTTTGGTGTTAATGGACTGGTGTGGGTGGCATCCTGGGAGTTGTAGGTTGTAGGTAAACACTATGATGATATCAGGTCACTTCTTGGACCACTAATTACTAGAGTTTACCTAGAGAAGGTTTCGGGGGTCAACGTCCCAGCAGTTCGGTCTGAGACCAGGCCCTATGGTGGACCAGGATCTGATCAACCAGGATGTTAACCTAATTTTCATTATTCAGTAAGAACCTCGGCAAAAACATGACTCAGTGACATTTAGAGTGTCTTTCTGTACACAGCTATTTATTTCTACTTACCTTAAGAAAAGAGAGGTGGTACAGATCTATGGATGTGGGATGATGTGCTTATGGTCTACCTGTACCAAAGATGAATATAGGGAATACATATTTGCTCAGTTTACAACTTAAAACGTAACTGCCACATTGGCAGCAGTAACTTTCACATTGACAGTTACTGTCACACTGGCAGTAATAACTGTCACACTGATAGCAGTAACTATCACTACATCTCTCTTGAACTGTCAAATTGTTGACCAATGCAATATTTTTCCTGTGTTCAAGTTTAGTGCCAGAGGGCTTATAGGCCTAGGCAATATAGATTGGGTCTCCACATTCATTATGTGCAATATTAAATATATATGTTACTACATAATACCCGGTAGAAGCACCAGTTCAACTGAACTTCAGTCAGAACCGCGTGGTAAACCCTCAGGGATTCACTAATGCGAAGTCATTTTTTTTTATTTTTGGGTCACTTTCAATGAGATTTTTACAGTGATTTAAGCAGCACTTGAAGCCTACACACCGTGTTTGTATTGGCTTTTTACCTTACAAGATAGAATAAAACGAATTGCCCTTTTCTGTAGGTCATAAAACTCTCCCTTATCTATAAAATTAGTAAGATGTACAATGATGTAGCTTCTAACAGATGAAAGATATGGGATAGATAATATTGACGTTAACCTCGTTTGAGCTAAAATATCAATAGATTGCTTAATAAAGTATGTTAAAGTTTATTATTTTTGTTAAGGATTTTTTTTTTGGGGGGGGGGAGAAAAAATCGCAATTCCAATTTACATGGTAGTAGAGCCATCATTACTCAATAACATGAGTAAAAATCATGACACTCCTATAAGTACTTTTAGCCAAAAATGAAAAATAATGTCAATAACTTATTCCTGAGTTATACATATATTATGCATTCTGTAAAAGTCTGGGATGATGGCGCGCCACATTTCAATATATGGCGCCTTAACACATGTTGGCAGCCCACAGGCGACTGAGCTGTTATCACTTACTAAAGTTGAGTGGAGTCCTCAGTGATGTTGTAATTTAGTGTATTTAGAATGAAACAATCATAAAAATCTTAATTTTTGGAGGAAAAAAAACACGAATTCCCATCATGTATTTTTGATGATGGCCAGACCAAAAAAAAATCACATTTTTGGAAAAACATACTTAAAAATATGACAGAAACAAGCTAATTACATCAACATGTTGCCAGAATTATGCACAATTTTCCTTATAATCATTCGTAAAAAAATCGCCCCTTCCTTGGATCTCAGTAATTACTGGCATTAATTTTTTTTTGCAGGGTCTTTTAATGCAGAAAATTAACCTCTTTTTTTAAATCCAAAAATTCAGTTTTTTTGGTGCACTCGTGGAGATGCTTTGAACAATGCCATGACAATTAATGGGTTAATCTTATTCAGGGAAAAGACCCATAAATATCTGGCTTCCTAATGGTTCACAATAATGGAACTCAAGTAAATTACCGAGACATCTGCATTTTCTCTTGACCACATTTGGACAAACATAACTTCTCTTCTAATAGCGTAATAACTAATAACCCAAATGATCAGTACCCATCATCTGTTACCAACATAGCCAAATCGCCTGGACCCATCATGTCACATAAAGACACCACAACAATGTTTCAGTGAATATTTTCACGTCTATAAATACCGCTGATTGGAAGAGAGAATTCAGTAAGTCACTTTGGCTGACCTTTTTTTGGGCTATCCAAGGTTCTATACACATACACTGCTATGTATGATAATCTATGTAACTGTATTTGTGTATACCTGAATAAACTTACCAAGATATTCACTCGTGTCCAAGTTTGCTTAAGAAATTGAATGCCTCCATTGGAAACTAGCCCTTATAACCAAATAAGTTATAGCAAAAATATCAAATAGCCTTTGGCTAAGCAACATCCTCCATGCAGTCTTTGACAAGAGAACGGTATTAATTCCCAAAGAATTCTTTAATATATATACTTATTCCTTACTCTTCTCATGAAGAAATCTTAAGTTAGACACATGTGCAACTCTTGGGTATCTTTATTGAAGAAACGTTTCGCCACACAGTGGCTTCATCAGTCCATACAAAGGATAATCCATACAAAGGTAATCAGTCCCTCAGCCTTGAGTCGATGTGGTCAGTCCATCACCAGTCCACTAACACCCAGGATGTGACCCGCACCAGTCCAGTAACACCCAGGATGTGACCCACACCAGTCCAATAACACCCAGGATGTGACCCACACCAGTCCTCTAACACCCATAATGTGACCCACATCAGTCCACTAACACCCAGGATGTGACCCACACCAGTCCACTAACTCCCAGTACCCATTTTACTGATGGGGGAACATTAGAAAACTGGTGTAAAGAAACACACCCAGTGTTTTATCCTCGCTGGAAATCGAACCCAGACCCTTGCCGTGTGAAGCGAGAGCTTTAGCCACTAAGCCATGGGGCACAATAGTCACTTAGGTAGGCATAAAATAAATAGTAAGCAACCCTAGTAACAAAACCTGTGTTGCAGGTCAGAAAACTATCAACACTACACACACACTGGGCCTCACTCAGAAACATAGGCAAGATGCAGCCTCTGGATATCATCAAGGGATACTTCGGAGCCAAGGTGGCTCTCTACTTCTCCTGGCTAGGCTTCTACACTAGCATGTTAATCCCAGCTTCTCTTGTCGGAGTCTTGTGTTTCATCTACGCTCTGGCCACCGTCCATCACCATCAACCCAGGTGAGTATGCTCCTGTGAGCTTTTATGCCTTTATAGCGGTAAAGTGCTCTTGTTCCAAGAAGTCTGAGGCACCCTCTGCTTCCTTGGATCATATTATTTCTCATTCTGTAGGTGCTGTATGACTCATGCACAGCATACTAGTGGATTTTGTGTTTAGCTCAGTGGAACCTCGTTTTTCGGACATACCGGACCCTAACAAACCCGAGTCAAATCAGATTTTTTTTCTGGATTACTAACGTGCTGATTTGTTTAAAAGTCTTACTTCAGAAGTGCTTTGAAGTGATCTCTGCCAGTGACCTAACTCTCAGAGACTTGGAAGAGTTAATTCAGCATCCTCTAGTCTAGTGTGTGAGGCTGATAATTACTGCCTGGGAAATGCTGTTTCGGACATCGAACTTTTCGCAGTTCGAACACCATCTAGTAACTAATTAAGTTCAAACAGTGGGGTTCCACTCTATATTTTATTACATAAAAATTACGGTTTGTATTACTGCAGACAGTAATACAAAAAAAACGTTTAGATGTTTATATTTTAGATTTTAGATTTTGCCACCGAAGTGGCTAGTTTATTGTGCACCCCATATCCATCCTGTGGACGGTAGCGCGAGAGCATGTGGATACACAAAAGGCCTAGGAACTAGGCCCCAAAGGGTTAACAGGAATACATATGGATTTATATCTACATATCTATAGTTCACTTATCTGTTACAAGCAAATTTAGGAAATTTGCTTAGTATATCTGGTATCTTATTTTCATTAATAAGATATCTTGACATGTCACATAGGTTATTATACTGTCTGTCTCTGTATTCCTCAATAAGTGGACAATTAAGCACATAGTGTTCAAGACAGTGACCATATGCCTGATCACATAATTTACATTTAGTTTGATCATCATCTGTGTGTCTCCCAAACTGCCAGAAGTACTTGTAACCAAGCCTAAGCCTGGCCACTACAACATCAGTCAGTCTGTTCACATTGCAAGTTGCTCCATAAACATACTTATCTACGTTCATGTTATCATAGTGAGTTATAGATCTACTCAGGCTTCTAACTGCATTCCTATAACAATCATCTTCATTATTTACTTCTCTCCTAATATTATTCCTAATGCTAGACACAGTTATACCAAAGTTATATTCTACGTTCTCCTTCTGGATACTCTTCTTGGCTAACATATCAACTTTATCATGAAGGAGTAATCCAATGTGTGATGGGATCCATAGCAATTGTACATTAATTCCTTTGTCCCTAATTTTTGAGTATCTATACTTGGCTTCCCCAATGAGCATGTTGTTGGAGTCATTATATGAGCCAAGAGCCTTCAATGATGACATAGAATCAGTAATGATGATAGAGTCAAGCTCAGTGTCATAGGTTAGCTTTAGCGCCATTAGGATTGCAAACAATTCAGTTTGCAGTGTAGACGCCCAGTTGTTAATTCTTATGCCTAACTCAACAAATTTATTATCGTTCTTAACTAGGGAGGTGGCAATAAGAGCAGATGCAGCCCTGCCAGAAGACTCCTGTTTAGATCCATCAGTGTATATAACTTGTGATAACTTATTACTACCAGCTAGGCGAAAAATTTCTTCTTGAGCAGTTGCTCTAACAAGAGATTTAAGGAAGGGATTACTAGCAATGAGCTTCTTGGGAGGGACTTGTAGGTATGTGATATTAAATGAACACATCTTCCATGGAGGGGTGAAATGCTCTTGTTGCCTACAGTGATACAGTTCATGCAGGTTATAAAACTTAATGCAATGTTTATATGTGTGTTGGGTACTGTGCGATCTCAATTACGTGTGCATTTATCTCATAACCCCAGTCACTTTCTAGCTTAGTGGTTCTTAACCTGGGTTCGATCGAACCCCACATAGGACACACACACACACACACACACACACACACTCCACTTGTATGATTCGTGATGTCACACCCAGCTTAGCCATCACTGGTTGCAGCTGATCAAGCCACATCGCTTGGCCTTGATATCTGTGCTGCAGGGAATTTGGGGCACTCAGTCAACTTGTGACTGTCATGGCTGTACGCCATTTGTGATTTTCTACCTAATCTTTCAGTCACTGCATACTCTGTCGAGCAAAACAAGAAAGTGGTTGGACGAATACATATAACAGAACGTGATAGGAGTCAGCGTCCTTAATACATGATTTGCAATGCCAAGTTGAGCAATTCTAGTCTAGCATTGGCAAAACTATGGGAGCACTTCCTAAAGGTGCATGAAGATGGGAAATACAAGAACACAACGCTGGCTGAATTGAAGGTGAAGAGACAGAGTTATCAAAAAGGCTACTCTGCCTGTTCTCGGCTTTGTACCCATCGACAAACTGATCCTCACAGCATCGTACGAAGTTGTGTACCTGATGGCAAAGCTGGGCAAACCACACACCATTCGCGAAACACTTAAAACCAGCAGCGTTGATGATGGCAAATATCATGATGGGAAAAGCTGCTGGAGATAAGTTATCCAGAGTTCCTCTTTCTAATGACACCGTCAGTAGCGGAATAGAGAACATGAGTGATGACATCTTGGCTCAATTAGCTGCAGATCTGATTTCAAGCCCAGCGAAATCCGGCCTCCTACTCGACGAGACCACCGACGTTCCCAGTAAGCAAGCTTGTTGTATTCGTGTGCTATGTGAGAGACGATGTGATAAAGAAAGTTTTTCTTTATTTTGTAAGCCCCTTACAAGAGCAACCAAGGCAGCCGAAGTGAAGAAACTTATGGATCACTTCTTCAGAGACAACGATCTTTCGTGGAATATGGTTTCTGCAGTTCGGACGGAGCTCCAGTCATGAGTGTCTCAATCTTCAGCTCCAGTCATGCTGGGACGAAAGTCTGGCTTCGGAGCGCTGCTGGAACCCGATACCACACATCATTGCTACGCTGTGTTCTGCACAGGTATGCGTTGGCAACAAAATCCTTGCCTCCAGAACTGGCAGAAGTATTGAAAATTGTAGTGGAATGCATGAACTACGCACGAAATAGTGATACGAAGCACCGCATCTTCAAAGAGCTGTATAACGAAATAGTCTCTGAATTCGAGGTACTTATGTAGCATTCTAACGTTGGGTGGTTATCCCGTGTTTTTGCCTTGTGTGTGGAATTAGCCCTAATTTTGCGAGAGCACCAACATTGTCACTCAGATTGCTTCGCAAATTCTGAGTCCATTCTCATTTCGGCGTCCATGGCCGATATCTTCGATGCTCTCAACCATCTCAATCGACAGATGCGGGGCGGTGGTGTCAACAACATCGAAGCCGAAGAAAACCTGAAGCCTTTTGAAAGGAAACTACCATTATGGAAACTACAAACAATATTATTATAATCAAAAAGAAGCGCTAAGAACTACAAACAATAACTTTGCAGGCTTTCCCCTGCTGGACGACTGTGTAACATCGAAGACGTGTCTGGAATCGAAGACATTTCTGTACCCGGGGAACTGAAGCCAGCAGTTACCATGTACTCAGATGAACTCTCAAAGTCTCTCAACGGATACTTCCTCACCAAAGTGTCATATCCAGCATGGGTGAGACAGCCGTTCACGTTCAGTGTTGTGACACCAGGTGTCAGTGATGAATACCTCAACAAAATCATTAAACTTCAGCAGAGTCAGGTTCAACAGCAGCTCTTCAGAACAACAACGATCTCAATGTTTTGGTGTCACCAAATCGTAGCATTACCCTCAGGCCACCGGGCCACCGGGCCACCAGGCCCGGTGGCCCGGTGGCTAAAGCTCCCGCTTCACACACGGAGGGCCCGGGTTCGATTCCCGGCGGGTGGAAACATTTCGACACGTTTCCTTACACCTGTTGTCCTGTTCACCTAGCAGCAAATAGGTACCTGGGTGTTAGTGGACTGGTGTGGGTCGCATCCTGGGGGACAAGATTAAGGACCACAATGGAAATAAGTTAGACAGTCCTAGATGACGCACTGACTTTCTTGGGTTATCCTGGGTGGCTAACCCTCCGGGGTTAAAAATCCGAACGAAATCTTATCTTATCTCTTACACAGGGTTTGACAAGGTTAAGGATCCCTAGCTTTATTGACAAGCTATTTACAGGTTAAGGATTCCTAACTTTATTGGCAAGCTAAGAGCTGTTACCTACATCAGCTCATTTGAAAGCATTTTTGTTATGAGACATACAAGTAGGGAACAGGATGAAGTTGGAGCCATCTGTGGGCCAGCTGTGGACCATCTGTGGGCCAGTATTTTCATTTAATCAACTGACTTTATCTCGTTAACATCATAATGCTGTACGAATGTGTTCCATACTCGAGTCATCTTGGGGATAAATGATCTCAGATCAAGTGATGTTCTGGAGAAGGGTACAGCCAGAGTGAAGTTGCTGTTGGCTGCCCGTCTTGTGGTATAGAAGCTTGCTTAACACTGCCCTCGAAGTGGATCCAAGTGTGGTACTTTGACAATATTGGCCTTGTACATAACAGTAAGGCCACCCACATCCCTCCTGTGTTGAAGGCTCTGCTGAAATGACAGATCTCTCCAGGTGACAGATTTATCCAGGTGACAGATCTCTCCAGGTGACAGATCTATCCAGGTGACAGATCTATCCAGGTGACAGATCTATCCAGGTGACAGATCTGTCCAGGTGATAGATCTATCCAGGTGACAGATCTATCCAGGTGACAGATCTATCCAGGTGACAGATCTATCCAGGTGACAGATCTATCCAGGTGACAGATCTATCCAGGTGACAGATCTATCCAGGTGACAGATCTATCCAGGTGACAGATCTATCCAGGTGACAGATCTATCCAGGTGACAGATCTATCCAGGTGACAGATCTATCCAGGTGACAGATCTATCCAGGTGACAGATCTATTCACGTTTCGTTTTTCCAACTACGAAGGTTCGGTGAATGCACGGATGAAATTTGCGAGGTTCAGTACCACTAACAAGGTTCAGAACCACTGTGATAGACAAACAGGCATACTTCACTTACCAAAATGAACACACCCCACTTTTAAATGCACAGTGGGCAACGCATATACCCCATACCCGGGTACCAAGCATTGTGAGTTCATTACCTTTGTAAATTGTGAGTTCATTACCTCTGTAACTTGCTCAGCTATCAAAACTTTGGAGTCCAGTCCCTGGACCAATTATGTACCTCTGTAATCTTTTGACTACCGCCCACAGGATGGGTATGGGGTGCATAATAAACATATTAAACTAAACAAGTCCCTAAGCTCCCTAATGTTATGCCCCTGCTAAATAACAAACCAAGATTGTAATCTTTGAAAGCATACAGCTTAGCCAATTTATCAGTTCTATCATGCATCTGAAGACCAATGTGAGATGGAATCCACAGCATGTGCACTCTGACTGCACTGTCCACAATCCTACCATACCTGTGTCTGGCTTCTGACACAAGCATGACACAATCTTACCATACCTGTGTCTGGCTTCTGACACAAGCATGACACAATCTTACCATACCTGTGTCTGGCTTCTGACACAAGCATGACACAATCTTACCATACCTGTGTCTGGCTTCTGACACAAAAATGACACAATCTTACCATACCTGTGTCTGACTTCTGACACAAGAATGACACAATCTTACCATACCTGTGTCTGACTTCTGACACAAGCATGACACAATCTTACCATACCTGTGTCTGACTTCTGACACAAGCATGACACAATCTTACCATACCTGTGTCTGGCTTCTGACACAAGCATGAAACAATCTTACCATACCTGTGTCTGACTTCTGACACAAGCATGACACAATCTTACCATACCTGTGTCTGGCTTCTGACACAAGCATGACACAATCTTACCATACCTGTGTCTGGCTTCTGACACAAGCATGACACAATCTTACCATACCTGTGTCTGGCTTCTGACACAAGAATGACACAATCTTACCATACCTGTGTCTGGCTTCTGACACAAGAATGACACAATCTTACCATACCTGTGTCTGGCTTCTGACACAAGCATGACACAATCTTACCATACCTGTGTCTGGCTTCTGACACAAGCATGACACAATCTTACCATACCTGTGTCTGGCTTCTGACACAAGAATGACAATCTTACCATACCTGTGTCTGGCTTCTGACACAAGCATGACACAATCTTACCATACCTGTGTCTGGCTTCTGACACAAGCATGACACAATCTTACCATACCTGTGTCTGGCTTCTGACACAAGAATGACAATCTTACCATACCTGTGTCTGGCTTCTGACACAAGCATGACACAATCTTACCATACCTGTGTCTGACTTCTGACACAAGAATGACACAATCTTACCATACCTGTGTCTGACTTCTGACACAAGCATGACACAATCTTACCATACCTGTGTCTGGCTTCTGACACAAGCATGACACAATCTTACCATACCTGTGTCTGGCTTCTGACACAAGCATGACACAATCTTACCATACCTGTGTCTGGCTTCTGACACAAGAATGACAATCTTACCATACCTGTGTCTGGCTTCTGACACAAGCATGACACAATCTTACCATACCTGTGTCTGGCTTCTGACACAAGCATGATAAATTTATACTTAATGAGTTGAGAGCACTTAAATGGAAGCATTTAAGTGCACGGAGCAGAGTAGAGGCCCAGGGTGGTGGTGGAAGGATATCTGGTATCGTCGTGGGTAGGGGTGGTAGGATTTACCTGAAGATTGTTGGATAAGTGACGACACGTCGTTATTGGTTAACGAATATACGAGGCTGGACGTGCTGGAAGGGGTCGTTGAGATGTATGGTAGGGCGACAGGTATGACAGTAAATGTGGGTAAATCAAAGGTAATGGGGTTGGGTGAGTGGGTTAGCCATGAGATATGAGGTTGATCTGTAGTAATAAATGTGGATTGATATTCAAAGATTTTGGGGATAGTGTATAGGGAGGGTTCGAGATGTGGCGAGGGTGGTCAATGTGGAGAGAGTGTAGAACAGTGTGGTAAATAGAATGCAGGGGATAAGGCCGCGTTATTTGCTATTGGTGCAGAGGGTTATCGTTGTCAATGTCCTGTATAGTAACGTGTGGTACGTTGCTAATGTTTCCCCTCTCACTAGGGAGGTGATTATCAAATGGTACACAATACCGACAGGTTGGTAGATAAGACACATAGGAAACATTTAGGCAACTTTATTCCGAAACGTTTCGCCTACACAGTAGGCTTCTTCAGTCGAGTACAGAAAGTAGGCAGGAACAGTAGAGATGTGGAGACGATGTAATCAGTCCATCACCCTTAAAGTCGTAGATTTGAGGTTGTCAGTCTTCACATCTCTACTGCTCCCGCCTACTTTCTCTACTCGACTGAAGAAGCCTACCGTGTAGGCGAAACGTTTCGGAATAAAGTTGCTTAAATGTTGCCTATGTGTCTTATCTACCTCACTAGGGAGGTGATAGGTAGGATTCAAATGAGGGTATTTCCATTCTTATGGTCTTCCAGATAACTGCTGCAGCATACAGGCGCCTGGCAAACCTGAGAATAGAGTTCCGATACCTTAATAAGGAATCGTTCAAGACACTGTACACCGTATACATCAGGCCCATACTGGAGTACGCAGCACCTGTTTGGAACCCACACTTGATCAACCACGTCTAGAAATTAGAGAAAGTGCAAAGGTTTGCAACAAGATTAGTTCCAGAGCTAAGGGGATTGTTCTATGAAGAAAGATTAAGGGAAATAAGCCTGACGACACTGGAGGACAGGAAGGTCAGGGGAATAGACAAGGTGGACAGAGACAGGATGTTCCAGAGATGGGACACAGAAACAAGGGGACACAATTGGAAGTTGAAGACTCAGATGAGTCAAAGGGATGTTAGGAAGTATTTCTTCAGTTATAGAGTTGTCAGGTAGTGGAATAGCCTAGCAAGTGAAGTAGTGGAGGCAGGAACCATACATATCTTTAAGATTAGGTATGATAAAGCTCATGGAGCAGGGAGAGAGAGGACCTAGTAGCACTCAGTGAAGAGGCGGGGCCAGGAGCTGAGTCTCGACCCCTGCAACCACAATTAGGTGAGTATACACACACACACACACACCTACCTTTATCTTCCTAAAGTACTCATAAACATAAAAATATTTCAGTAATGATATATGTGACGCTGGTCAGAACGTCACAATGTGTCCACTATGTGACTACCACTGTGACTTCTGGAAGCTGGAAGCTGCCTGCTACCCTGCCAAGCTCTCTTACCTGGTCGACAACCCTGCCACTGTCTTCTTTGCTGTCTTCATGTCTCTGTGGGGTCAGTCAATATTATTATTATTATTATTATTATTATTGTTTGTTATTATTATCATTACTATTAATGTTTTAATTATGGTTGGAGTGGTTATAGAGATGTGCAAAATCCAATGGGGAACTGCCCCTAAATTGGCAGTCTAACGTAATGCAATATTGCTTTCGATTCCTTCCTGTTAGAGGCCTGGGTTAGCCTACACACACACACACACACACACACACACACACACACACACACACACACAACACACACACACACACACACACACACACACACATACACACACACACACAGCTCAAGGGAATGTCGTACGAGGAAAGGTTAAGGGAAATCGGACTGACGACACTGGAGGACAGAAGGGTCAGGGGAGACATGATAACGACATACAAGATACTGCGGGGAATAGACAAGGTGGACAGAGATAGGATGTTCCAGAGAGGGGACACAGGAACAAGGGGTCACAACTGGAAGCTGAAGACTCAGACTAGTCACAGGGACGTTAGGAAGTATTTCTTCAGTCATAGAGTTGTCAGCAAGTGGAATAGCCTAGCAAGTGAAGTAGTGGAGGCAAGAACCATACATAGTTTTAAGAAGAGGTATGACAAAGCTCAGGAAGCAGAGAGAGAGAGGATCCAGTAGCGATCAGTGAAGAGGCGGGGCCAGGAGCTGAGTCTCGACCCCTGCAACCACAATTAGGTGGGTACAATTAGGTGAGTACACACACACACACACACACACACGTATAACAGGAAAGGCACTGCAATGGATCAGAGAATGCCTGACAGGGAGGCAACAACAGCGAGTCATGGTACGTGATGAAGTATCACAGTGGGCGCCAGTGACGAGCGGGGTTCCACAGGGGTCGGTCCTAGAGACCAGTGCTGTTCTTGGTATATGTGAATGACATGATGGAAGGGATAGACTCAGAAGTGTCCCTGTTTGCAGATGATGTGAAGTTAATGCTTCTTGAAATACTAAAAAAACTTGACTTAGTTTTTATTATCATTATTCATGACAGCCAAGATCTTCTTGAAGTTATGGAAGCGATACTCAGCAGAGATCAGCCACCGATGGGACCTGACGGACTACAATATGAGAGAGGAGCCTCCGAGAGCCGAGTACCTAGCTAAGCTAAAGGACGTAGGAACTCGTCCCAACGCAGTCACTGGCTACCCCGAGCCTTATCCACCCTTCTGCAGGATGAGGTTCCCTAGGATTGTCCTTAGCGTCTCCACTGTTCTCCTACTGGTTAGTGGTGATGGTTTAAGTGGCGTAATCTTGCTGTCAGTGGTGATTCCATTGTTATTGTTGGTTTAGTTAGCAGTAGTTATGTTGTTAATGATGTGTCTTCGAGCCCTGTGTGAGTGGGGTTTGTGGCAGCCCAAGGTACCTAGCTTCTCCCTCCGAGCCCCGTGAGGGCGGGTAATGTGGCTAGGCCTGGGGACAGTTGGTCCCAGAAGATGAGGGGGTACTTGTACCTCCTCCCATGGCAGACATAGAAGATGAGGAGGTACTTGTACCTCCTCCCATGGCAGACATAGAAGATGAGGAGGTACTTGTACCTCCTCCCATGGCAGACATAGATGAGGAGGTACTTGTACCTCCTCCCATGGCAGACATAGATGAGGAGGTACTTGTACCTCCTCCCATGACAGACATAGAAGATGAGGAGGTACCTGTACCTCCCCCCATAGTAGACATAGGTCTCAGACACTCCTAAAGACAGGGAGCCAAGACCGGGCGATTATACCGAATCGAATTCACTCACCATGTTAAGAGAGAGCTTTAGCCATAGGGCCACAAGGCACCTGAATCGATTCCACAGCCTTCGTATATGAGCCGAACAACCTACCACTTTAGCCATGAGCCATCTGTCAGTAAACAGACTCTGGAAAAGACAGTTTTCTCTAATATATGTCCTGATCTATACCCAAGTGTCTTCTTCCACATCTTTCTACGTCTATGATATTTTTCACATAAACTGTTTTCTATTCCTGGGTTGAGGCACTTATGGTTTAGTGCTTTCCTCTGATTGTAAGAACATGAGGAGCACTGCGGCAGGCCTACTGGGCCATACAGTGGATTGTGCAAGAAAGGTATAAAATACCGACAATATGAAAGTTAAGACACATGTGCAACATCTGGATATCTTTATTGTAGTAGACGTTTCGCCATCCAGTGGCTTTATCAATACAGATTCTAGGACATAATAGGAAGACAGTAGAACTATATACAAAAGATGAGGTAATCAGTCCCTCGGCCTTGGAGTTAGTGTTCACAGCATCGTGGTGGAGGAGAGTCTGGAGCAAAGGCAAGAAGACTGGCGCTTTTTATAGGCGTCAGTGAATGGGACGGGCAGCAGACGAGGGCGGTCACTGGTAGGCGGGATTCCCCAGTGGAAGTGGGTCCTTCCCAAAGAGATGGGTTAGTTGCAGCAGCCGTGAAGAAGGTCTTGTAGATGTCCTCTGAACCAAGATTCCATGATGTTGCAGTGTCTGACAAGTTGTGCAAGAAAGGTATAAAATACCGACAATATGAAAGTTAAGACACATGTGCAACATCTGGATATCTTTATTGTAGTAGACGTTTCGCCATCCAGTGGCTTTATCAATACAGATTCTAGGTGTGGAAAAAGACACTTATGTACAGTTCAGGACATTTATTAAAGGAAACGTTTCGCCACGAGTGGCTTCTTCAGTCCTAATATTAGGTATTAGGACTGAAGAAGCCACTCGTGGCGAAACGTTTCCTTTAATAAATGTCCTGAACTGTACATAAGTGTCTTTTTCCACATCTTGTCGGTATCACCATACCATTTCCTCACAGATTCTAGGACATAATAGGAAGACAGTAGAACTATATACAAAAGATGAGGTAATCAGTCCCTCGGCCTTGGAGTTAGTGTTCACAGCATCGTGGTGGAGGAGAGTCTGGAGCAAAGGCAAGAAGACTGGCGCTTTTTATAGGCGTCAGTGAATGGGACGGGCAGCAGACGAGGGCGGTCACTGGTAGGCGGGATTCCCCAGTGGAAGTGGGTCCTTCCCAAAGAGATGGGTTAGTTGCAGCAGCCGTGAAGAAGGTCTTGTAGATGTCCTCTGAACCAAGATTCCATGATGTTGCAGTGTCTGACAAGTTGTGCAAGAAAGGTATAAAATACCGACAATATGAAAGTTAAGACACATGTGCAACATCTGGATATCTTTATTGTAGTAGACGTTTCGCCATCCAGTGGCTTTATCAATACAGATTCTAGGACATAATAGGAAGACAGTAGAACTATATACAAAAGATGAGGTAATCAGTCCCTCGGCCTTGGAGTTAGTGTTCACAGCATCGTGGTGGAGGAGAGTCTGGAGCAAAGGCAAGAAGACTGGCGCTTTTTATAGGCGTCAGTGAATGGGACGGGCAGCAGACGAGGGCGGTCACTGGTAGGCGGGATTCCCCAGTGGAAGTGGGTCCTTCCCAAAGAGATGGGTTAGTTGCAGCAGCCGTGAGGACATCTACAAGACCTTCTTCACGGCTGCTGCAACTAACCCATCTCTTTGGGAAGGACCCACTTCCACTGGGGAATCCCGCCTACCAGTGACCGCCCTCGTCTGCTGCCCGTCCCATTCACTGACGCCTATAAAAAGCGCCAGTCTTCTTGCCTTTGCTCCAGACTCTCCTCCACCACGATGCTGTGAACACTAACTCCAAGGCCGAGGGACTGATTACCTCATCTTTTGTATATAGTTCTACTGTCTTCCTATTATGTCCTAGAATCTGTATTGATAAAGCCACTGGATGGCGAAACGTCTACTACAATAAAGATATCCAGATGTTGCACATGTGTCTTAACTTTCATACAGTGGATTGTCCTTTGGCTTGGTTGGCACGCTCTCGCCTCACACACTGAGTGTCTGGGGTTCAATCCCCGGCACAGGTGAAAACGAACATTAAAATGGTATAAAATACCGACAGATTGTTAGGTAAGACACATATGCAACAGTTAGGTATCTTTATTTCGAAACGTTTCGCCTACACAGTAGGCTTCTTCAGTCGAGTACAGAAAAGTTGATAGAAGCAGAAGATACTTGAAGACGATGTAATCAGTCCATCACCCTTAAAGTTTTGAGGTGGTCAGTCCCTCAGTCTGGAGAAGAGCATTGTTCCGTTGTCTGAAACAATATTGTTTCAGACAACGGAACAATGCTCTTCTCCAGACTGAGGGACTGACCACCTCAAAACTTTAAGGGTGATGGACTGATTACATCGTCTTCAAGTATCTTCTGCTTCTATCAACTTTTCTGTACTCGACTGAAGAAGCCTACTGTGTAGGCGAAACGTTTCGAAATAAAGATACCTAACTGTTGCATATGTGTCTTACCTAACACAGGTGAAAACGTTGGGCGTCTTTCCTTATACCTGCTGTCCCTGTTCACCTAGCAGTAAGTAGGTACCTGGGTGTTAGTCACCTTATATCTGCTGACTCTTCACCTAGCAGTAAATAGGTACCTGGGTGTTAGTCACCTTACACCTGTTGTCTCTATTCACGTAGCAGTAAGTGACTAACATGCGGGTAGAACATAAGAACATAAGAACATAAGAATGTAGGAACACTGCAGAAGGCCTACTGGCCCATACGAGGCAGGTCCTTATCAAAACGACATCTAGCTTTAGGTAGATGTCGTTTTGATAAGGACCTGCCTCGTATGGGCCAGTAGGCCTTCTGCAGTGTTCCTACATTCTTATGTTCTTATGTTCTTATGTTCTACCCGCATGTTAGTCACTTTACACCTTCTCTCCCTGTTCACCTAGCAGTAAGTAGGTACCTGGGTGTTAATGAACTGGTGTGGGTGGACCCGGGGGAATAAACAACTCCTAAGACACACGACTTTGTTGGGTTATCCGGTGGAAAAACTTTCTCTACCCCGGGTAATCTTGGGCGGATAACACTACCTACTCTGGGTTATCCTGGCTGGATAACATTCTCTACCCCGGGTAATCTTGGGCGGATAACACTACCTACTCTGGGTTATCCTGGGTGGATAACCCTCGTCAGGGCTACAAATCCAAGAAACTTAACTTTGCGTTTTCGAGGGGTGTAGGGTATGGCTGGGGTGATTTTTTTATCGCTGTCAGTGTCCGCCGCCCCAATCTTCCGTCACAGAACTCCTAATTCTCCCGATCCTGCCGTGTTTTCCTCCATCACAGCCTCGTTGATCAACTTGTTCTGCATCACCATATTCAACATGGTAGGTTGTCCTTGGAAGCTGAAAAAAAATAGATGGTACAAGTGTCTTATCTCTGGAGAACAGTGGACACAAAACCCGGGTTAGCCCCCTCGATTCTTGTATATATCTACAATTGAAATCCTAGTATCAAATACTATTATTTAACTATTATTTACTGTATACATGCATGGCATACAATACCGACATCCAGTGGATTTGTCAATACAAATTCTAGGACATAGTTTGAAGACAGTAGAAACGATACAAAAGTGAGGTAATGGGCCCCCTCGGGTTTGGGTTGGTGTGGGGATCACCGTATTCTTTGAGGGACGCGCAACATTTGGAATTTTGGTTCTGGGGGGGGGGGCTCCCCACAACCTTCTTCTTGTACAAACCCCTCTCTTGGGTAGGACCTACTTCCACGGGGAAATCCCGCACCAGGACTATGCCTTCGCTACCCCCCGCCCCCCTTTCCCCCCCTGACGCCGTATATAAGCCCCGCTTCTTGCCGTCTCCAGTAGAAAAAAAGACTTCAGACAATTTCCCTTCTTGACTCTTCCTTGGGGGTCAAAGCACCTTCCTTACTTACTCTGTCCCCTACGATCCCCTTGGGGAGGGGAACCCCTTTACCAGCTTGTCTTCACCTTGATTGCACGAGAGCTACGAAAATTTGTCAAGATCAAGCAACAAGGGGTACGTTGTGATTCAACAAAATTCCTTGCAACTGTTGTTCAAGGAACACTGAAAGTTAATTCAACACCATTTTTGTCTCTGAAAAAGCATTATTTTGTGTGTACGAGTTGCTAAGCAGAGAAGCTACCACTACAATGCCCATACACTTTATGCTCAAGGGTTTACTGTTATGTCCCCCTCCCCTCGGGCCAGGAAATCTTTCCTTAAAAAACTAGACAAGTTTTCTGAAGTCTAAAACACTGAGACCAAGACATCCTCCCAAAATATTGGGCTACTTTTGCAGCACAAAAAAAATTCCCGAATGCATCGTCCATGCTCAAGTCACCTTCCCCGCGTTAACATGGCTCCCCACTGCTCTGACGAAGGCTTGCTGTTTTTTACTACTTACAGTCCAACTTACATCGAGAGAAAGATACAGTACTTTCCAACACTGCGGGAAATGTTATTCTTACCATCACACCCCCAAAAGCTTTTCCCATAAAAACAAAAAATTTTCTGCATACATGGGGGTTGGGGGGACACCCTTCAGTTCTGCACCATTCCCCACCCACAAACCCACGTGCTTAAACTGAAAGAGCAACGACCACATACATGGCAGCAAAATGTCCTAACGTAAGGATATTTGAAAAAACACAAGAAGCAGCAAAAAAAAAAACCTTTTGCAACACACCAACGATGCAGCATTGCAAAGACCAAACTAATATACAAATTACTTCAAGACTACCAGCCCGCCTCCACCTCAAACCCCTCCTCCAGCTTGTGACGTAACCCAAAATCCATACGTTTTTTACGCTCACATGCGAATATGGGTTACCTGGATCTTTAACTCTCCATCAAGGTTATTTTCCTAAATAATTGCCATCATTTAATTCCCAATCTCCCCCCTTCGGGAAAAAAAATAAAATTCACCAAAGACCAATCAACACTTCTGCATCGCAGCTCCAAAACCACCACACTGTGGGTTCACCCAACAAGGGGCCTCCTATTCGTCGATCGCCCCCTGCTCGCGATTGGCTGTCGTGGCGGGGTAACCCCCTTCACCTCCACCCACACTTCTAAAGGACCAATCGAAGCCACGATTTTTCCCCAGTCTTTACACCCCTAGCAACACCAAATTTAAAGAACCTTCAATGCGGCAACCCCCAACAAAAACCCCCCAGTATCTTCGACGTATTAATACAAAGACCAAATCAAGTCAATACCTGCACTGGAAAGATATAACTTTTTTTTACGCTCCTGACCAAAAAACCCACCATGAGGGGGGACACTTTGTACGAGAAATTTCTCGACCCAAAAATCAAGTTTCAAATCGTAAAGGATCCCCTGCTCCACCACCATCTCCAGAGCCTTGGGGCCAGTTACAAGCCCAACCCCGCATTTCGGGCCTAAGATTCAAGACTACTTTCGTTTCCTTCCAAAAAATTTCCCAACATAAAAGGCCCCTTCACGAAAGAAAGAATAATCCAGACTACTATTAAAGACACCCGACCAACAAGAACTTGCCCCCTTGCCCTCCTCCCGCCCTGCCAGCCGCCAATCAACATCAAGATGAGCAATTTTTCGCCAGCAAGTTGCACAGTGCCCGCATCCCTGTTGTATCTACAGTCTTTTGTTACGTTATTGTGGTTAGCAGTTGGGGCAGTCCTGACTCTTTCTTTGCTCAAGACTTTTTCTACCTTTTCTTCGCACTGTCCCCACTTGCCCCCCCCCCCCGTGGGGATTACCCGTGAGTCCTATCCATCCTGTGCTCCAGAATCTACACATACAGTTCCTTCCATCACTCCATTAGGGTGGTGTTGTTCCAAGGGTGTGGAAGATGACTAATGTAATTCCAATATTTAAATCAGGGGATAATTTGATTCCATCAAATTACCGTCCAATAACCTGACGTCTATAGTAGTTAAATTATTAGAATCAATTATAGCTGATGTTATTAAAAGTCACCTTGGTTAGTATAATTAGGTTGGATAAGTACATGAGTGGGAGGGGTTGGATTTGAGTGGGACTTTCACATCAGAGCTTATTTCTTGGGTGGCATTGAAAATTAGGTTGGGCAAATGTTTTGTTAGTGGGATGAATTGTAAAGGACCTGCCTAGTATGGGCCAGCAGGCCTCCTGCAGTGTTCCTCCTTTCTTATGTTCTTATGTTAATTTGAGTAATGAATCTCAGCATGGATTCACGAGAGGTCGTTCCTGCCTGACAGATTTACTGACGTTCTTCAATAGAACATTTGAGGCAGTTGACAGTGATAAGGAATATGATATTGTTTATTTGGATTTTAGTAAAGCCTTCGATAGAGTACCTCACAAGAGACTCTTGGGGTGGCCCGGTGGCCTGGTGGCTAAAGCTCCCGCTTCACACACGGAGAGCCCGGGTTCGATTCCCGGCGGGTGGAAACATTTCGACACGTTTCCTTACACCTGTTGTCCTGTTCACCTAGCAGCAAATAGGTACCTGGGTGTTAGTGGACTGGTGTGGGTCGCATCCTGGGGGACAAGATTAAGGACCCCAATGGAAATAAGTTAGACAGTCCTCGATGACGCACTGACTTTCTTGGGTTATCCTGGGTGGCTAACCCTCCGGGGTTAAAAATCCGAACGAAATCTTATCTTATCTTATCTTATCTTAAGAAGAGTGGCAGCTCATGGTATAATTTGATTCCATAAAATTACCGTCCAATAATCCTGACGTCAACGGTAGGCAAATTATTTAAAATCAATTATAGCTGGCATTATTAAAAGTCACATTGAAGGGCATAACTTGATTAATATATCTCAGCATGAGTTCACGAGACGTCGTTAACAACTGAACAAGCATGCTGGTTCAGTTGTTAATGATAAGAGAAGATTTCGTTGGGATTTTTAACCCCGGAGGGTTAGCCAGCCAGGATAACCCAAGAAAGTCAGTGCGTCATCGAGGACTGTCTAACTTATTTCCATTGGGGTCCTTAATCTTGTCCCCCAGGATGCGACCCACACCAGTCCACTAACACCCAGGATGTGACCCACACCAGTCCACTAACACCCAGGTACCTATTTGCTGCTAGGTGAACAGGACAACAGGTGTAAGGAAACGTGTCGAAATGTTTCCAACCGCCGGGAATCGAACCCGGGCCCTCCGTGTGTGAAGCGGGAGCTTTAGCCACCAGGCCACCGGGCCACCGACCTTTACTAATAATATAATAAGGTCCTGGAGACGTGACTAATGAACAGATAAAATGTTATTTTAGTTCCAGGAATGTCTGTATTATTTATGCTGGACCCTATTTTCAAATTGGCCTTTTCTTGAATTTTGTGTGAAATTGGCAAAAGTAGTAATTTCAGATCACTTTATTGGGTAGTTGAACTAGGTAAATGGGCAGTTTCTTGTACTCAGTCGATAGAATAAAAAGAGTTCTAGCAAAATAGGTATGAGTTTGGTCGACTGGAACAATCTAATTGCTCCAAAATAGGGATCAAAGTGGGCGAAATTGCAGATGCGTAAATATCACCGAGACCATTAACTTCCCAATAACGTAATTCCATAAGTTTTCCATCAAATTTCATACTTTTGGTTTCATTACCTTCAGAAGATACACAGCAAGAACTTAAGAGATGTTTACATCATATGCATTAGTTGCTATATTGACTGAGACCCACGATGTGGACTCTGGTGATCCCAGCATTGTCGGTCGACAATCAAGACCATGTACGAAAACCAAATCGAAGAAATCAGTTCAAAAATCTATTTGTTCGACAACTAGTCCGTTCGACAACCAAGGTCATTGCATTACTACTGCTACTACTACAACTATTATAATATGCACCTCACTCTGTACCTATATATACCCCTCTGTTCCTGTATTGTTTGCAACAGCTTGGCAAAGTTCCTGGAGGGTGAAAGGTCACATTAGTTGCACTTGTGTCGTTTTACCTAACAAAATGTAAGTGAATGTATAATCTTTATATACTTCTCTTAACTTTAGGATGTCTGCCTTAGGGCTGGTGCACAATTCATGATCCAAGGAACTAGAGTTATCCTCACACTTCTGGGATGAGACATAATTATCACTGATTCTCTAGGATGTGTGTGACCCATATGGGTTTAGTGCCACCTTGTGAATATAATCATAATAATGCTACTGCTTTGTAGATGAATGGTTCAGAGAACCGACATGTTGATAAATTAGACACATGTGCAACTCTTGGGTATCTTTATTGAGGAAACGTATCGCCACACAGTGGCTTCATCAGTCCATACAAAGGAGAATCTTAAAGAACAGGAGGAGAATGAGGTAATCAGTCCCTCAACCTTGAGTCGATGTGTTCAGTCCATCAATCTTGAGTAGATTGATGGACTGAACACATCGACTCAAGGTTGAGGGACTGATTACCTCATTCTCCTCCTGTTCTTCAAGTTTCTCCAATGCATGGACTGATGAAGCCACTGTGTGGCGAAACGTTTCCTCAATAAAGATACCCAAGAGTTGCACATGTGTCTAATTTATCAATGCTACTGCTACTACTACTACTACTACTAGTATTAATAATAATGTGTGATCATGCAGGTGTACACAAGAGTTGCTGTAAGACTGACGGAATGGGAACTTCACAGAACACAGACGGAACACGAGGACTCCCTCACACTCAAAATGTACTTACTACAGTTTGTCAACTATTACTCCTCCATCTTCTACATAGCGTTCTTCAAGGCTACCTGGCCTGGATACCCAGGCGACTACAACCGCATCTTTGGTTTCCGCAAGGAAGAGGTACAAGTGATAGGTTGTAGTAGGCTGTGAAGATCAGTTGTCTGTGAGGGGTGAATGGTCTGTTAGGATCAGTGGTTTGTGAGAGTCAGTGATCTGTGAGAGTTGAAGATCAGTGAGGGGTCTTTAGCTGTGTGGCAAAGTTAATTTGGGGTGGAACTGGAACCCATGGCAAGCAAGTTCTAAAACTCACAGACCAGTGTGGTAACGGTGGGACCAGTTAACTCTAGTAAGATTCATCCAACTAGGTATATTTCTATACACCAAAGGAAGGTTAGCATGGGCCACCACTGTGACCACAAATAAAGCTTTTTCAAGATAAATACCACACCAGCACAACACTCACAACCCATATAAGAGTCAGTATCACTATACTCTTTCATGATCTCCCTTTTAGCCTCCATGTATAACATTCTTTGTTTTCACTGCTGATATCCGTGGCATGCAAAGAGTATGGTACAATTTATTCAGTGTATGTCACACTCCCATATAGGCTGCCTCCCAACCAGCAAACCGGGTACTGAGGGTTTAACGATCGGTAGAGTACCCATCGTTAAATCAGTACATTGGTTCATTAGCCAATCACAGGCAAGCCCGCCAAAGCTGATGCAATGTGATTCACTTGTGGTAAGCAATGGCAGACTTGCCTAGCTGCTGGTTGAGCATTATACACTCTTGCTTCTGCCTTGCCAACTGTCACTCTGGTGTACACTTACTGTTCCATCTGTACATATACATAGTGTACATATTTGTATATACCTGGCTAAGGCAAATATGCATTATAGTTTACTGCTAAGCTCTGTTTGCTTCATTTCCCATTATGACCAGGTCTCACAGGTCATTCTTTACCTGTGTTCGTAATAATATCTAGTATTTCATTGCCTAAATTTTTTGTTATTCTCATCATTTTGCTCTTTCCTATGTTCACTTTTAATTTCCTTCTCTTACATACCCTCCCAAATTCGTCCACCAACTTTCGCAATTTTTCTTCAGAATCTGCCAAAAGTACAGTGTCATCAGCAAAGAGCAACTGTGATAACTCCCACTTTGTGTTAGATCGCTTATCTTTTAATCCCACACCTCTTGTCAACACCCTATCATTCTCTTCTTTCATAACCCAGTCTATAAATATGTTAAATAACCATGATGTCACCAAAAATATCTATCTAAGGCCTACTTTTACCTGAGCCTGACTATCGTTATTAAAACTCCTATTTACGCTCGGTAGCCTACCTCCTATTCCATTCACTTGCCACATGTGCCACTTTCCCCTCTTGTCCACCTATCGTGTGCCTTTTCTGAATTGACAAATGGAACGATAAACTTCTTTACCCTTTTCTAAATATTGCTCACTTATGTGCTTCAGTGTGAACACTCGGTCTACACATCCCTTACCCTTCCTAAAATCTTCTTCGTCTGCGATCTTGCTCTCTGTCTTACTCTTAATTCTTTCAATAATCATTCTACCATTCACTTTTCCTGTTATACTCAACAGGCTTAGTCTCTTTTCTTTTATACAAAGGAACTATGCACCCTTTCTGACAGTCCTTAGGTACCTTACCCTCTTTCATACAGTTATTGAACAAATGTACCAACTACTCCATCTTGATCCTGTAAATCCCTGCTGCTTTACCCCCTTTGTCATATGGATGGTGGTGTGTGGGGGGGTTGAGGAATGGAAAATGGGGTAATGATGGGTAAGGGGGAGAAGAGCGGAAGGCGGGAGTAGTTTTATACCTGGTAATGTAACACATTCCAGTGCTGACCGTACTACTGGCAAGACAGTCGCTGTACCATCAAGAGGATTCCCTTCTATTGAAGGGATACTTCGATGCCCCAATCTTCCAAGATGTCTCATCGTGTTAAGATTAAACCTGCAAGTACTAAAGTGGATGATGCCTCAAAGCTTGCACTTGCGGCTGTCCTAAAAGGCAGCCTGCAAGATATTGTCCACTACTGCCATCAAGACTGCATGACCTTTCCTTACTTGCAGGTGAAAAGTCCTGTGTTCGTGAAACGTCTTGACAGAATCGTCACCGATATCCCAAGTGAAGAACTCGAGTCACTCATCGAAGTACAGAACATCAGGACTTCGGTGGAAACCATAAACATACGAAACACCTCGTCTATGATCAAAATCTCCTTCAAAAACATCACTGTGGCTGCCCAAGCTCTATCTGACGGACGGGCCATTTCTTACTACTTCATTCACCCCAGACACATGGAACCTGGGCCTTTTAAAAACATCTCTTGCAACCACAACATCAAAAACCGCCATATCAAGGACAAGAAAATCTGTTCTGTACGAATGGTATATAATACCGACAAGATGAGAGTAAGACACATGTGCAACATCTGGGTATCTTTATTGTAGACGTTTCGCCATCTAGTGGCTTTATCAATACAAATTCTAGGACATAACTTGAAGACAGTAGAACTATGTACAGAAGATGAGGTAATCAGTCCCTCAACCTAGGAGTAGGTGCGAACAGCACCATAGTCGTGGAGATTCTGAAGCAGAAGAAAGAATCCTGGCGCTTATATAGTAACGTCAGGTGAAGCAGACGAGGGCAAATTCACTGGTAGGCGGGAATCCCGCCTACCAGTGAATTTGCCCTCGTCTGCTTCACCTGACGTTACTATATAAGCGCCAGGATTCTTTCTTCTGCTTCAGAATCTCCACGACTATGGTGCTGTTCGCACCTACTCCTAGGTTGAGGGACTGATTACCTCATCTTCTGTACATAGTTCTACTGTCTTCAAGTTATGTCCTAGAATTTGTATTGATAAAGCCACTAGATGGCGAAACGTCTACAATAAAGATACCCAGATGTCGCACATGTGTCTTACTCTCATCAAAATCTGTTCTACTTGCGGAAAAGATGACCACGATTACTAATCATGTACCACCGTCATTGCTCCTGCTTGCCTAAACTGCGGCCACATGTCCTGTAAGAAAAAGAATCTTGTCCAGAAAAGATTACCGATAGACCCCTGGCTGTCTTCAAGACCCCTGGCTGTCTTCAAGACCCCTGGCTGTCTTCAAGACCCCTGGCTGTCTTCAAGACCCCTGGCTGTTTTCAAGACCCCTGGCTGTTTTCAAGACCCCTGGCTGTCTTCAAGATCCCTGGCTGTCTTCAAGATCCCTGGCTGTCTTCAAGACCCCTGGCTGTCTTCAAGACCCCAGGCTGTCTTCAAGACCCCTGGCTGTCTTCAAGATCCCTGGCTGTCTTCAAGACCCCTGGCTGTCTTCAAGACCCCAGGCTGTCTTCAAGACCCCTGGCTGTTTTCAAGACCCCTGGCTGTTTTCAAGACCCCAGGCTGTCTTCAAGACCCCTGGCTGTTTTCAAGACCCCTGGCTGTCTTCAAGACCCCTGGCTGTCTTCAAGACCCCTGGCTGTTTTCAAGACCCCTGGCTGTCTTCAAGACCCCAGGCTGTCTTCAAGACCCCTGGCTGTCTTCAAGATCCCTGGCTGTCTTCAAGACCCCTGGCTGTCTTCAAGATCCCTGGCTGTCTTCAAGACCCCTGGCTGTCTTCAAGACTCCAGGCTGTCTTCAAGACCCCTGGCTGTCTTCAAGATCCCTGGCTGTCTTCAAGACCCCTGGCTGTCTTCAAGACCTCTGGCTGTCTGCAAGATCCCTGGCTGTCTTCAAGACCCCTGGCTGTCTTCAAGATCCCTGGCTGTCTTCAAGACCCGTGGCTGTCATCAAGACCCCTGGCTGTCTTCAAGACCCGTGGCTGTCTTCAAGACCCGTGGCTGTCTTCAAGACCCCTGGCTGTCTTCAAGACCCCTGGCTGTCTTCAAGACCCCTGGCTGCCTGCAAGACCCCTGGCTGTCTTCAAGATCCCTGGCTGTCTTCAAGACCCCTGGCTGTCTTCAAGATCTCTGGCTGTCTTCAAGATCCGTGGCTGTCTTCAAGATCCCTGGCTGTATGCAAAATCCCTGGCTGTCTTCAAGACCCCTGGCTGTCTTCAAGATCCCTGGCTTTCTTCAAGACCCCTGGCTGTCTTCAAGATCTCTGGCTGTCTTCAAGATCCGTGGCTGTCTTCAAGATCCCTGGCTGTCTGCAAGATCCCTGGCTGTCTTCAAGACCCCTGGCTGTCTTCAAGATCCCTGGCTGTCTTCAAGACCCGTGGCTGTCTTCAAGACCCGTGGCTGTCTTCAAGACCCCTGGCTGTCTTCAAGACCCGTGGCTGTCTTCAAGACCCGTGGCTGTCTTCAAGACCCCTGGCTGTCTTCAAGACCCGTGGCTGTCTTCAAGGCCCCTGGCTTTCTTCAAGTCCCCTAGTTGTCTTCAAGATCCCTGGCTGTCTTCAAGCAGGCACTTGACAAGCACCTAAAGTCGGTACCTGACCAGCCGGGCTGTGGTTCGTACGTTGGATTGCGTGCGGCCAGCAGTAACAGCCTGGTTGATCAGACCCTGATCCACCATGAGGCCTGGTCAGACAGGGCCGCGGGGGCATTGACCCCCGGAACTCTCTCCAGGTAAACCCCAGGTAAGTTTATGCAGCTATAACGAAACTACAGACTGACACCTCCAAGATCTTCAAAGCCACTGGACAGGTATCTACATTAGGCGACTCACTCTCCAGTTCCTGACGGTGCTCCCTGCAAGGTGCTGTAATAAGAAGAACATAAGAACATAAGAATGTAGGAACACTGCAGAAGGCCTACTGTCCCATACGAGGCAGGTCCTTATCAAAACGACATCTACCTAAAGCTACTCAAGAAATAACTCCCGTACCCCTTGACACCAGTCTCTTCTTAAAGCTACCCAAGGTCCTAGCCTCTATCACCCCACTGGGAATACAAAGTGTACACCTTGCAAATGCAGTAAATCCCGTCTGTATATTTTGTCTGCCTTAGTTTTCGCAGACTCCACACCTTCAGGGGGGAATCGGCCAAAAAATTGTAGCTCTTTTGTTTGAACATTAAAATGGTATAAAATACCGACAGATTGTTAGGTAAGACACATATGCAACAGTTAGGTATCTTTATTTT